AAGAATATGAAAAGTTTCTAATGGTAATTTAGAAATAGTGTTTCCCATTCCCACTTCCTATTCTGGATTTCAGAATTCCTTATTCACTGCACCCTACGGACGCGTCCAACATTTTTGTGTAAAGAAGCAAAGATTTGAAAATGCAACAAACGCAGCAGATGGGCTTTTGCACACGTTTACACAAAAAATGCAGTAAAGGGGTACGCAATACTGCAAATGAAACCATCTTCGCCATAGGAGGGCTCTCTGCCTCATGATAGGAATTTATCTCATGACAGAACATCAATAAGAAATTATCGAAATAGAATTTACAAATTACTGCAACTTTCCAGAATTGAATCTGAGTTAAGGTATTCTATTTCGGTAATAACTGATCTAAATTTGCAACCGCCAGGAGTATCTGAACTTACGGTTTACGCTTTGGTTTTTTCAAACAGCGCACTCTCCTCGCTTGCTCTGCCTTGTCAACACTATGCACTTTCCATGATAGCTAATTTTCTCAAAACAAAGTATTCTGTTAACATTTTTTTTTTTGACACGATCTCTTCAATTTTTATACATCTATAATATTCATCTGTCGAAACCACCGATTTTTTTGGAAAGACAATATTCTAAACGAGGCATTTTATTTATATTTGGTAAATTAAGCTAGTGCGGTCGGCTTACTAGTTTCGAGAGCTCAAACCTCACACTTGTCACCAATGCCCACCATAACGAACGCAGGGCTATTGACCGCAGCGCTTGTCTCCGCGAAGTCTTATTTCGCTCATTTTTAAACAGGCCCACAGGGTTTCCGGACAAGCAAAATGACAGTATTTCGAAACAAGCTTCAGTAACACCGGATAGTCCAGCTGTTCGCGTCCCTCTCTTCGCGGCTTGCATTTCATAATGATCTGCGCTACCGACAAACAAGCGCCAACGAGCAGCAACACGCTTTCGCTTTTTCAAACCGCGCGCTCTCTCCGCTCGCTCCGCGCCTTGTCAACAGCAACCCGCTTCTTTCACGCCCGGTGCGGTTCAGTAGTCGGCCCGGGGCGCCGCGTATTGCTTACGAGTTCGCCGCCGCTTAGCCCAGGCGTACGCGGCAACGTAAACTCCGCGCGACAGCCGGGAGACTCGGGGGAGCGGTCACGGGATATGGGCACCGCTCCACCACCAGTCACGGAACGACCGACGAACCACTCTCCCCATCACCAAGTTCAATTTTTTTTTTGGCGACCTTGGGGACCAAACTGTTAATTTTGCGACTTTGAAGTATTACCTGTCCATAAACTCCTTTATTAAGAAATGAACGAAGTTTTCTTTTTCTGAATGCCATCCCCGATTCAGGGCACCTTTTTAGGACGTTTCAAAAATTCTGGACAACCAGTGTTCCAACGAATCCTCAGATTTAACCTGGACACAATTTAGCACCTGGAATGGATGCCCTTTTTTTTTAAAAAAAAAAAGATAATAAACAATTTCTTTACAAAACCAAGAAATTTATAACTATTGCTCTCCTCCTACATTCCCACAGCAAAAAAATTGATTTCGAAATACGAATTTGAATTTTAAAAATTTTTGAATAAATAAACCTAAAAACTTAATTTGTTGGCCAACTATTATTAAAAAACCTGACATTCAGAAAAACTACATTGCTAAATCATACTGAACTTTCAGTTGAATGCAAAAAATACCTTTAAAAGGTTTGAGAACCTTTGACCTTGACAATACTATAGTACTAGTTTGTAGCTATCATTGGAGCCACAATCCTTTAAAAAAAGCTCTACATGAATTGAACCCGCAACCCTTTGTACTCATGTGGCTCAAGCATCCCTGGTGTGGCAAATTAAAAAATGTTGCCTTGTGATACTAAGCAATCATGTAGGTTCTTAAAACCAAGAATAACTATATGCAGAAGTGGCAGAATTCTAAACAAGTTATTTTCTTCCATTAATTCCATAAGCATAATTTCAAAGAATGTCAATCTAAGATTTTATTTTTAGCCATCATCTTCAGAACTGAAATCATACTTTTTTATTATTTAAATATTTGTCTCTCTTCTAACATTTGTTTCCAGATTTTCCAATTTTCCCCTACTAATATGACAATGCTGTGAGACAATATAAAACTGCACCTCACTTTTTAACAATTGACTTTTTAAACTCCAAAACATTTGTGATTTACCAGCTTCTTTTATATAAAATTTTATACTTCATACAATCAAAGCACTGGGTTACCTACATTAATTTTTTTCCCCAACAACAATTTGTAAAAGAAGGTTCAAGTAACAACTTAAGTAAAAATATTGGCAAACATTAAATTATTTACTTACATCAAATATCAATTATTAGATTGTGGAAAAAAGAAATCACCGAATCACAATTAAGTGCTTTGGATTTAAAGACACCCCACCTCAATATTGATATTCTAAAAATAAACATGCAAGGAAAACATTATATCATATGGAAGTCTGCCAATTTAACAAGAAAATAAGAGGAAGTTATAAAAGGAATACGCATTTAAATACATCTTCAAAATCATTAGGTAGACTTATATTCTTTCAAAGACTAATAATTGTCTCTCTCGTTCTAAGTTCTTAATGATTTCTTGGCCAGCTGATGTGACTAACATTTTTAGAATGCAAAAGGGTAAAAACATTCATAATGTCAATTCTGCCGATTCAAAAAAATTAAATAAAAGATTGAGAAAGTGAGAACTCTGAAGAAAAATGTACATTAGTTTACAACTCGAAGGACTTAAAAGTAACAGTACAAAACATTTTGTAAAACATAAGTAGTCTCCTTCACTGTCCTCATAATTTCTATTCAGGAAAATGCAGGTGCAAATTAGTGAATTTACAGCAGAGATTAAATTACAGCACTACTTCAATTGACAACAATTTTCCCACGATGTTGTATCAAATTATGTCAATTAAATTTTTCATTAATAATTCATAAACATTTTTCTACTTATCTCAGGCATATCATGATTACAATATTTTGGTTATTTCTGTCAAACAAAGTTGTCAAAAATAAGTATGAAGTTCAGGGAAAAAAACAAATATGAGTTTCAAATGTATATCGTATTTCCTTCCCCAGACCAACATTAATCAAATATCGATATCAGCTTCTAAGATACAATAAGCTATTTAATGGCATTCACCCAGATTATCACTATAATGTTATGATTTCCCAACAAAACCTACCATAAATTTTAAAAAATACTATACATTTTTAATAACAATTATTAAAGCAAGCCATTATAGTGATTTCTTCAATGAAACTCTTAATGAAGGTTATAAGATATGAGAAACAATAATAAAATATAATTACAATAATAGGGGCACTCAAAATCATTTCAATAAAATGCAATTTAATCAGGAAGAAAACTGAATATTTATTTTTTAGCACAAAATATATATCACTGTGCACTTGATGTGATCACTGTTAGTTGTCAGCTGGTCAAGAGCATTACAACACAATATAAACAATAAAGTATACAAAAATTAATCAAAGGGTAAAAAATATATATAACACTTTAAACCGTGAAATAAAATTAAACCTTGATACATAATTATGAGTCAATGCAATGTAATCATAATCACTCTGTAAAGCAACTAAATGATACCATCACTTTAACAATTTAACAACAAAATTTATTCAACTTCCAAATATAATTTGATACCTAAAGGAAACTTATTTAACCTAACAATGTACAAAAGATATTACACTAAAATCCGTCTTTATAAACTTCTCAAGTAACTTTCAAATTAAACTGCATTATTTCATAAAATGACTTGTGTCAATTAGAATCAGCTGATTTTGTAGGTTTATACATGGACGGCATTATCTCATAATTACTTTTAACTTTAAGCTTACTTCGAGAGAAATGTTTGCTGCATTTAAATGTTGGAACACTTTAAATTTTCTTCAACCAAAATATTAAAAGGAAACCAACTCACAAAGCAGTGACAATACTGACACACAGGTCATTACTCAATTTGGGTGTTATGACAATATTTTAGCTACAAATGATACTATTAGTTACTGGATAGGCTACATAAACGGTGTCACTGCATTTACGACCAACTACCGGCGAAAGACACACTATTTTATTCAAGATAGATGAGTAAAAGTGGCATGAGGCAAGGGGAGAAAAACTTACTCTTCACTAAAGCCATTTACGTGCAATATCCTCATCTGCTTCACAATTGTGCTTTTCCCCGATTCGCCGGCACCTTGCAAAAGACAAAACAATGCATATCAGCATAAATTTAAACCCAAAATTAAACAACAAGATAATTTGCTTGCTCAATATGGCTGACAGGACTGCTCTGTAGGTAAGGACACTGCGATCTAATATTTACCTAGTAATAACAATCTGTGCGTAGCTCTATACACTTGTTTATCCTTTTGCAGTTGTGCGTTAATCTTTTTATTTCGTTCACTCAATATTTTTCGTTCTTCTCGGTCCTGATTTGAGCCTCCACTTCCAAAACAACCCATGGCATCAGGCCAGATATCAAGAAATATGGTGGGTAGGCAGAACCGAAGGGTCTCGCGCTACCTCGCGTTCAAAGAGAGATTCCCTATTTTGTAGGCGTTATTTGCACACACACGGCACTGAACACTTAGCGATACATGTTGTTTTACACATCCCGACACTTGTCATCCATCACAAAAAGGCAATAGCCACTACTTATTGAAAACAATTCGCAAGAAGAAAATCGCACCTCACACTCTCAATGGGTCTTGCACTAACTGACTCGAGAGCTCGCCATGGCCGAGTGAAGCGATGCATTGTGGGTTATCCTTTGCTCGGTACTCTTTTCAAAGTCGACTGAACAGGCGTTTAGGTAATCAAATAAACTTGAAACATTCGCCACTCATATATTTTCTGTTTTAGGTTTGTGCGAAAGAAGAAAGAATTGAAAATAATAAAAATGAAATGATCGTCGTAAGTTAGAGAAAAAGCGTAGTGGTAACTGATTGCCTCTAATATGCATGGTAACCATGTACTCGGATCAATATCAGGATTATTTCTACATCTGAACTTTTAAAATAATAAATAACTAATATCTTCTTAATATCCTATTCTTGTTTCTTTTGAACTCACAAAAATGCACGATATGTGTCAATGAGATAGAAATAGAATATAAAACTGTCCTGCCATCTTGTAGCATTTCATGGTACGTCAGATGATTCTCACAAACGCTCCTCTCCTTGAACCGTCTGTTTCCACCACTTCAATATGGATTACTGGAATCAGGCTGGAATCGAAGAGGGTATGGGGAATGAATAGAAAAAGTAGAATCGGTAGAATAAAACCACCGGTCAGCGAATTGTGGTGATGTCGTGCGGGCAAAGGGGAGTACAAGAGCCGTCTTGGAGAGTGGGGTATTGTCATGCAAAGCAGGGTGAAGCATGGCATGCCGGCAGATTATAATCAGTGATCAGGTGATTCGCATTTCGGTGATGTTTCAAGGTATGTCGTCTGTCGCCAATTGCGCAAGTGATTTAAAGTGCATTTTGTCCTATCAGAGATTCTAAAGAATAGCAAGTTGCAATAATTCCAATGAACATTAATGAATTATATTGAAAATACCTACAAAAAGTAATTTACAGAATGGCGTTCAGGATTTTGAGACCCACTAGGTGTCTTCAGCAATTTTTAAAGCCAGCAGCATTAAGAAAATCTTCGAATAAAACTTCTGCAAACTTGTCCTCAAATATGAACTCATTTGTTCAGGAAGGAATTCTTAAAAGGAAACTGAACCAATTTGTCCAGTGGTATGAAGAAACTACGGGGATGGATGAGGTTAGAATGTCCCAAAATCGAGTCTTAGAAGCAGAAGAAAAATTTATTAGTGCTCAGGACCGTAGGCGAGAATCAAACAAGGAAGTAACAGCCGTGCAAAATAAATTAAAAGATTTGTATGCAGAACTTGACAATACTGCTAGAGGAGAAGAACGTTATGTTGCCCTCATAACAGAGGAACATAAACTTTTGAAACAAGAGAAACAAGTGATGAATGAATTTAAACGTTACGAAAGGGAAGAACGGGAGTATTTTTCTGCGTTATCATCAGCTGTAAAAGAAAGTCACGAAAAAGAAAGAGCTCAAGCGGAACGAACCAAATATTGGTCTATCATTGGCTCTATAATCGGTACCATTATTGGCATTGTTGGAAGTTCCATTAACAACGAAATAAGAATGAAAGAGTTACGGAAGTTAATTACAGACTCTACAATTGATTCAAAAATTAATAACAATTCAGCCGCATCGCCAGAGTTATTTTTAAGATATGAGAGAGAGTTGAATGCAATTACCAATGAAATGAATGTATCTTTAAAACATAATGTTGATGTTGTGAATCGACTTAACAATGTTATTTCCCTATTAGACAATAGAGTAAGGTCAAATCAGAATTTAAATTCAGATAGTGTCCTAAACACTTTATCACAACAACAAATTGTATTAGAAAAGAACTTAAAAGAACTGAAAGCAATAATAGAATTGCAAATTCCAAATAATATTTCAAAAGATGATAATCTTGCCTATCCTTATAGTACTAGTAGTCAAGATAAAAATGAAACTGCCAAAATGCTTTTTCTCAGCACAGTTGTTGTGGCATTTCCAATTATCTTCCATTATTTTAACTTGTTTAGTTGATATTCTGAAACTTAGATGTATTTTTCCTATTGAGTGTAGACTATTTACATTATTGTTAGTATATTGTTCAGAAGTTTTATAATTAATGTAAATGTGTAAATATGTGTTATTTTTTCCTGATAAATCAAACCACTTGCCGTTGTTTGGGAAGAGACTTTGCTATGTACTTGCTGTCACCAGGATAGGTGACATCATTTCTACACATCTTCAGATTGCATTTTGTATATGTGTTCCTTGCCAATTATGAATATTATGTGTATTTTTATAGTGGTTATTTTTTATTTGATACAAGGACATACTTTCTCGTTTATACAGTAAAAGAAAGCTTTGTAAAATTGATAATGTTTGATTAAAGCTAAGTACATTTAAATTTGTTTTATAAACTGTTTATTTCAGAGAAATTACATAAAAAATATTTTGTATCACCTAAAGTGTGATGACTTATTTACATACAAATACATTTTCTTATTCCTCATTATACTTATATTTTGTAATTTTTAATATGACTTAATAACGAGTTTGAAAGAGTTTATTTGCTTGAGATGTGTTAGTACTCTCAATTTGTTCTAAAATTAACTCTTCTTTTAGTAGTAACTTCAAATTAACTTATACAATTATGTTATTTGATCAAGAATAACATTAAATTCTAATTGATAAATTTCATCCCAAACCCCTGACACTCAAGTTAAGAACCGTGGGTATCTTCTCATTCATCCAATCATTCTGTGGATTTAAAATTGCTTTAAATATTTGTTGAAGTTCATAAATGGCAAAATACTAAATTAGTTTCCTTTCTTTCCTAATTTTAATGGGAAAATCTAAAAAGAACCAACAATTTTATATCTCAAAGGGAACACCCTAAATAATAATTTTCTCAACAAATGCTACAAAATGCTGTAGCCTTGTTTTCAGAATGTGATTTTTTAAAATTTATAGTGCTTAATTCTACCATCACTATCGATTCTGATAAATTACTGGAGAAAGGGTGAAAATACTGATTTGAAATTGTAAATAGGAATGGAACTGACACTTGTCAAAAGCAAGTGCTCTCTAAAACTTGGGGAGTTTTAATCTTCCTTTAAAATCTTGTACAAAAGTTCAGACATGAAAATTATTCTTTGTATGAGGAAACTCACTCTCTCTCTTTCCTTTGAAAAAAGTGGTTAAAAGTAATAAATTCAGAGCACTCAGAAATAAATTACCTACCTCGAAAGACTTGGACAAATATTGTTAGTGACAATATCTATGGAAAACATGATTTCCTATGATCTGGCATTCACATCAAAAATTTTGCATGTTTGACAAGTCTTAACTTACTATTAAGTCTGAGTCTATTAAATGACTATTGATCAAAAATGCAACGATCAAAATGTCCTTAATTATTTGAGACAAATCAAGATTTCACTATTGCAAATCAGAGGCATTTTATCTTAAGTTTCATAGATAAAACAGTGCATGTGCAATGAATAAGACAAAATGAGGGCATGGCTTCTTTATTTCTTAAGAACCATAAAATTTACTTCTGTTCACAAACCCTTTCCAGAAAAACTGAATATTATGTCTGAAAGAAACAGTCACATAAATTAAAATTAATTATTACATCAAAATATTATTTGTTACTAAATATTGAAGTAAATACATTCAGACTTGCTATAAATACAAATATACATGACCATAAAGAAAACTGCTACGTTGCCAACATTATGTATTTGAAAACAAAGTGAAATGAACTGATGTCAGATACTAGTTTTCCCAAACTCACAGGTTTAATCTTTCTTTGAAATATCATAAACATTTAGGATAAGAACATTATTTGTGACAGTACGATGTAGTACTTCAAATTAAATTTATGATTATGAAATAAAAAAAGAGCAAAGTGTATTGACATGTCCCTAAGAAATAAAACTCAACTCACTATTTAAAAAAAATAAAAACATTAATATAATGTGAACATCTCTGTACATTTATTAACGAACAGGACATGTAGGTTTTCATAACCCACTTACATTAAAACCTCAGACCTCATCACAATAAGACATATACCTCTTCCTATTAATCTGTCCATTACAGTCTTCTTTAAATACTACATCCACGTGATGCTTAAAAGCTACAATAAACATATTGCATAATATCAATTTTTCTTCACAGAATGCATTATAAAATCTGCAGGTAACCAGGTCTTATGTTAACCTGACAGATTTGCCAATCAAGCAGGTTAACATAACTTCATTAAACAAACAAATTATTAGGTAATAAAAAATTAAGACATATTAGAACACATCACTGACATGTTTATCACTGGAATTTTACAAAACTGCATGTTAAACATTCTTGTCAAATTTGAAATTACTAATGAGAAGACAGAAAAAAAATATCCAAATTTTAATTTAATTTGATATCCAACAAAACAGAGGTGCACTATAAGATCAATTGAAAAACCATAACATTTCTTAAGTTCTGAAATTCCACTAATATTAAAATTCAAAAAGGATTTTTTTAGCTAAATAATAAAAGTAATAATACTAAAATTAAGGCTTCCTTGATACAGCAAGAGTACTGCATAAAATGCAGTATTGTTATAAATAGCTTATTTTGTTTTCCAAACAGTGAATAATGAAGGTAATTATCGGTTATAACATTTATTTTAAAAATTGTAACTGCAAAATATTTCTATACCCAACTCCAATATTTTAATGGCATATAAATAATTATAAATATTTTCAATATAATAAATATTCAATAGATAGTTTACATGATGGGTTCCTTCTCAAATATTTGCAGCCTCTTAAAAAATGTGAGATCCCAATCAATAGAAAAATTATTATAAAAGATCCTTATGTTAATAACACTTTATGCCTCACCTATATTAATTGAAAACATGAAATATTTTGTACATTTAGCAATATGACAGGAAGCCCTTAATTGCTTATTGACAATTTACAATGTTATTACAAAAGAGGTATCAATTAATTTACCAGAGAAGTGCACCTCTGTTTTCCTGACAATCATGAACTTGCTTCTGAAAGTCAGAAATGTTTATTTTGGTTTCAAAACTTGCTTCTGCAAAGCCCAATTTAAACGACATGAGCCAGAACTAAAACCCAATTCACACAACAAAGAAACGGTATCTACAAATAGAAATTCAAAAACAAATTTTTGATTTCCAAACTTTCTTTGTACTGTGCAAATACCTGCAACATTTCTTAACATCCTTGATTTTATTTAATAAGTTAGTTTGAGCACAAGAAAAAACAGCACACATTGTTGACAAATCTTGAAGAGTCCCCTTTTTCATAGAGAATAACTGTCCAATTACTTGGCTGTATTTTTTGCTTGTTTTTCTTTAGTTAATCTACACAATCATTCAATCTTATTGCAACATTGCACGGTGGGAAGTTACAAGTCCTAGAAAAGTTAACTTTCATTTACGAAAATTTTATGAAAAAGTGGGACAGACAGTCGTCATTGATTGTTAAAATGTTCACTTATATGCATCTTTCACTCCTCTCACTGTCAAAATTGTGTACAATTTTAATTCAAAAACATGTATATAAATATCAGTTATCTTCAAAAACTGAAAATATTTCTCTGGATATCCACAAATGACAATAGGTTGCCTAATGTTTGGCAACATCTAATAACTAAATGAAGTCTCTTCTTTGTTGTACTCATTCATTTAATGAGCCCTGTTCACAGCTTTGTTTAGTAACTATACCAATGTTCCATAGTAAACCCTAAACATTTTGTATGGTTTTTCCAAACAGAATCCACTGCTATTGCATAAACCATTGACAATGTCAAAAAAGAGGTACAAATAGAAAGTACTTGTTAGCAAATGACTAACTATAACAATCAGACCATGACCATCATGAGAAAAGTTCAACATAACAATGTTTATAAGGACTTTTCCATGCTTCATGGGCAATACACATTTTATACTGAAGACAACCAAAACAATATGCAGGAAAGTACTGCATTCACTTGTAATTCATCTTCCCACTTTGGAGTGACACTGAAGTCTAGCAATAGGCTATTTCTTAACCTACACTTGCTTTAAAGACTTCATTGATGAATTTCAAATGAATTGGTTTCTTCATTGCATCAGGTAGTTGATGGATCCTCAATTCCTTTTCTGAAATCAAAGTTTCAAGTAAACATTAAACACATCCACACTAGAATACAAAACAGTAACAAGTTAACATTCAATAATCAATTATTGATGTTGACAACAATTACACAAGGTAACAAAAAAATCTTTTTCATACTACCAGGATGAGAAGTAGGTAATTTCAAAGGAAACAATCACGCCAATTTCAAAAATTGTAATCAAAAGTTTCTATCATGCAAGGTTCAAAAAATATGAACATATTTAGTATTTGAAATACACAAAATCCTATACTAATTTTCAAATTGTCACTCCGGTACAACAAAAGTTTATGAGAATGCATCATACGAGGTAATAAGTTAAAAATGGAATACACATATTTGTGAAATAATATGCAGACATTAAAATAGTTTGTTGATATTCTCCACAACACTGGTAGAGCAAAAGACAATGATTTGAGTTTTTCATTCAACCAAAATCTAAAGTTTGTTGTGTACATGAGCAGCCACCCATGGTTTGTCCTGATCACAGACATGACAGTCAAAGTAAAAAAGAGTATGCAAGTTTTATAATTTCATATATTTTTTTCCTTTGAACTTAGAGTATGCATATCTTCCACAAGCATACCAGAAATTATCAGTTTGATTCGCACGCTTTTGGTGTGAACTGACGATTTGCATTTTATCAAACCTATTCATTTCTACAAATTATGTGGCGAATTTCACTTTATACTATACTAATATATAACAGTAATATATTAATGTATTTGAGGCACATGCAAACCAGATACAGACTTCAGGAACAGAGCAGGTACAGTTCAAATAACACCGACTGACTCAGAATCTGACACTACAACAGTTGGATCCTTGTATACTTGCAATAAGGTAAGGGGCTA